ATATATATATAATTCTCTACACAACTTTCTAATTACTTATTTTGTCCACCACGACTTTACAATTACCTTTTTAAGAAGTTGCATTAATCCCAAATCGACCCTAAATCAAACTAATTTTGATTCAAAGTTAGGGTTGTGTCTTTCCTTAAATTTTAATGATTGAATTAATTCCTAATTTTTTTCAAAAGAGCCAAAAGAGTCTAATCATGAGTTAAAATGGTCGAAAATTTGAGCCAATTTTGAGTTGGACAATTTGAATCAGATCAATGAGGCATTTTTTCTACACCCATAAAATAAGAATCAAAGGATATTCAAGCACCGCTAAAGACAGAAATTAAAAATTAATTTATACTATGATTAGGGTTGTAAATGAACCAACGCGCTTGATGAGCAGCTCGAACCCAGCTCGAATAATACTTCATTATGCTCATTGATATTAGTGAATAAGTTTCAATATTTTTTAAAACTCAAAGGTTAAATGAAATCTTTCATTAAAATAAGTTTAAATAATTTTGGAACTCGGTAGGGAGGGGCCTACCCTAAGAAGATTCGACCGGTCTTGCCTCCCTGCTCGACCAATACATCCCTGATGTTAAACTGGTTGGTTCCGCCCAAACAAGCCCCACATCAAGAAGTATCTCAAGCTCGATGTGACCGTAATCAATCCAGTCGAGTTGGCTTGCCAGCCAACTAGCCTTACCTCAACGTGCTCGAGCTCTAGCTCGTTTAATAAATCAGCTTGACTTTCAGCACGGGGCTCGATAAACTTGACCCACAAATTCCTCAATGAGTCTGATAGAGCCGGCATCCCTACTCAATATTATTAAGAAGTATTTTAGAGTCATTAAATGTAAATTAATAATAATAATAATTCCAAAAAATCTTTCATTCGCGTCAGTTTATTCCCACCTTCGCATTAAAGAATGGAATTTGATACTGGCTCTTTACCTTTATTCTTTGCTGATAAGAACTACTGCGACATTTATTGGGTTCCTGAAAAAGAACTTTTTTATGCAGAACAAAATAAGAAAAAAAATAAATAAAATTAAATGTCCATGGGAATGAACTGATAAAATTTTAATAACAATGATAAGCCATCAACAAATTTTCATCACCTGATGTAAATCTCGAGACTTGACACGAATCTCAATATAATTTTTGAGAAAAAACATTAAATTTATGATCAAACTGGCCGTTCTCACGAGACTAACGAAACAACGCTAAGATTGGTCTAATCCGAGTTCAATCAAAGCTTAAATCAAGCCATTAAATTGTTTTTGGAATCTTTTAGTGCAAAACTGGAATGTTAAATGTATTTTAAATCTGATAACCTCATAGTCAAATCGAGTGTCTCAACAAGACGAATCCAACGAGCCCAATATCACTCAATTTTTATATCATTAAAGTACTCAAATGTCCACAGAATAACGTCTGATCAAGCAAACCTCTCTGGGGCGTTCGAAGTTGTCTGGATTCCTTCATTGATTACAATGAGGCCTCTCACAGTCTCTATAAATAGAGTCTTACCTCCTTCATGAAGGGAGACATGAGAGATATACCTTGAACCAAAAGAAGGCCGAAGTTTGGAGTATTACTCTCATGCTCTACACTAAAGATCATGTGAACGTTGTCTGCTCCTATCGTCGTCGACCATCATCCACCACTACCAGCTGGCCGTTCTCGACAATTATAGACCATCACTTTCTCCTTGATGAAGCCCTTGTTGGAATCACAATGTACGCTGTGGAATCACATCGTACATTGCAAAATAGCAAAACATCCTGAACATTGTGCAATAACTCACTCTGAAGATGGCATAACAACCCACCCTGAAAATAATGCAATAACACACTTCGAAGATGATGTAACAACATATGTTGAAGGCGGTGCAAAAACACATCCTGAAGAAGTTAAACAACGCAACCCCGCACATGGTGACCCTCTTCAGACTCCTGAGGTTCTCACCTCACAACTGTCAACTACGGACGACGTCCCTACGACCTAAGTGTTTCATAACGACCGTGCCTCTTCATTGTTGCCTTAGCGACAAATGGAAATTATCCAATGTGAACAACTACAACATATGTGGCTTGTAGACCGTGCAAATCTCAACTCTGACCTTTGCAATCTATGAAAGTTATCATAGCTCGTGCATCCCTCAACTTTGGACTCTATAGCCTACTAACACTATTATAGGTCATGTAGCTCTCAACATTGGCTTTTGTGGACTACGAGGGTTACCATAGCTCTTACAAATTTCAAATTTGGCTTCTACGACCTACGTATGCTATCACAACTCGTGCAACTCCCTACTCCGGCCTCTAAGGCCTACAAATGCTATCTTAGCTTATGCAGCTCCCAATTCTAGCCTCGGTGATCTACAAACATTACCTTAGCACATGCAACTCACAACTCTCACTTTTGTTGTCTATGAATGCTATCTTAGCTCATGCAGCTCCCAACTCTGGCTTCAATGGATTCCAGATGTTTTCACATTTCATGCAGCTCCCTACTTTAGCCTTTAGTGCTTATGGACATTATCACATCTCATGCAGCTTTTAGATTGACCTCCACGACCTACAGACATTATCATATTTCATGCTTCTCCCAACTCCAGTCTCCGCGGCCTACAAACATTATTACAACTCATCATTTCAGCTTATATGACCAACTACGACTTACACTGCTCGCAGATTTTATAGCTCCACACTTCAGCCTCTATGGCCAACAGAAGTTATTGCATGTCACCATTATGGCTTATATGACTAAATACGATTTACATGGCTCACAACTCTTGCAGCTCCCTAGTACGGGCTCTGAGGCCAACTGACGCTCCTGAAGCAACCATTTATGTCCCAAAAGACCAACTACTACGCTAGATTTCAACTATAACCTACACAACAAGTTACTCTTACAGACACCCTCTACAAAATTCTCAATGGAGTATTGTCTCTATATCAATCGACTATGACTTTTGCAGTCTACTTTCATCGAGAATTTCATTCATTACAACCAATTTATAACTATCATTGATGAACTATTATTATACAATTTTATAACTTATTATTTTTAATTCAGGAGAAGAGTGAACATATGTACTCACAATTACATGATGGATTATTTAAATTGGGTTAGGTCCTAAGATTTTTTCTCTTTTTTGGGATCTTCCACATAAAAAGTGAAGGTGTCTCCTCATGCTTGCTATTATTATTTTATCCATGTTTGTTGGATATGTGTACAATGCTGATATGACAAATATTCACTCTACATCCACTAATCTTCCGACATGCAACAAATCGGCACCGTCTGTAAGAATGAAGTCTCGTTTGGCACAATATTCAAGTATGAGATGTTGAGCCTATGGTTCATTTTCCAATGATATACATCATTCAACTGGCGAAGGAACCTCATTTGCATCTCTTATGGATCATTTCAGAAGTATTTTTTTATGTAAGGGGCAACCTTCACTGTAGTCTTGCAATGTCATTCATATCAATGTCCTGGGCATGATTCTAGTGGGGTAGTTTTCCGGCATTCTATTCAGACTTAAATTCTATGACAAATTCTTCGAGTCTGGGGACAATCTTCACTACAATCATAAAAGATCACTCACATTAATGTCTTGGACATGACTGTGGTGAGGTAGTCATCCCCAGTTCTATTCAAATATCAAGTCTTCGAGAAATGCTTCTAGACTGAGGGGAGGCTGAGGAAATGAATAAACTGGCCATCTTGATAATATAAAATTTTCCGAATATTATTTTTAAAAAAGTTAAATTTAAACTGACCATCTTGATAATATAAACTAAACTCAAAAGAACATATATATATTTTTCTTTTTAGTGAACATAATTTTTTTTCTCTGTTAATTAGTTAAATTAAAATATCTTCAACACTATTTTGTATTATTCTTATAGAAATATCAATATCCAATAGTATCAAATTATAAAAGAACACAAAAACAAAACCCTCAACATATATCTGCCTATATAAAGAGCACTATGGGCACACAAATACTAAGGCCAAGCTCTAAAACTCTCTCATGGCTCCACCAACAACTCACATATCCTCTTCAGACCTCAACGGCCTCAGCTCCATCCACAACCTGCTAACAACATTCAAATACTTCGACTCAAACTCCGACGGCCTCATCACCATCAACGAGCTCGAGGCCATCATCGAATCGCTCGGCTTCAGCTCCGTCGACACCGCCGTAACTAATGAGGCTGCGGAGATGATGAAGCAAGGTGACACGGATGGCGACGGAATGCTAAGTTCTGAGGATTTCATTGGCTTGATGGCCGGACAAATGGAAGTTGGAGAGCTGGCCGAGCTACTAAAAGCTGCTTATCCGGCGATCGCCGGAGCTGGAGAGGAGGAGGTGAGGGGGGAGGAGCTCTACGAGGTGTTGAGTACCATGGGGAGTGTTGTGAGTATGGATGATTGCATGGATATTATTGCGTCTATGGATGGAGATGGAGATGGAGCTGTTTGTGTTGATGACTTGAAACTGGTTGTTCAAGCTCTATCTTATACTTGATTAAATAAATAAATAAATGAGTTATATGTGTGTGTGAGTCTATATATATGAGAGTGTGATTGATGTGTTATTATATACCAATAATTAATTAAAATAAGGTAGTATAATATTATCTTGTTTCATAGCCAGCCAGTACTATTTCAAATGTCTTCAGCTTCTCTCTCTCTCTCTCTCTCTCTCCTCCTCGTGCATC